CAAGTGTCCACTGCTCGTCTCACTGGGCATCAATGTCCACACACCCCTGTCTGTCCAGGCAGACACAGTGTGCACACCAAGCCATCAGCCACTACATCTTCCGAAGTCAACTTTTCCTGTTGAACTGTTCTCTCAGCCCAGCCCTGTGGCTGAGGACACCTGCTCCTCCTCACAGAACACAGCTGCTGAGCTGGGAGCCCCAGCAACTGCCTTTGCACCTCCAACTCACACTGTGGGTTAACGCAGACAGTCAAGGAACAGCATTTTGTGAGGTCGATGGGTTTTATTTAAAAAGAGAAGGCAACAGATTTGGGAGTTTTGAAAAAGCTTCTTCAAAGCAAAACAGTCTTACAGCCTCAGTCTCACATCTCATCCCATTTACTCTCCTATGCACCTCCAGTCGCTTCTCCGTCACTCCTTCTCCTTCCAGCTTTTCTGGCTTCCTTCAGAGCTCCTGCATCTCCCTGCTGCACTTCACACACCTTCTGCCTTCCGCCTGCACGTGGTGCCTGGGCTGTGTCCCACTCAACATCCCCAGATCCTTGCTAATGCTGCCAGTGTCTGCTCCAGCACTCAGTCACTGCCTGTGCCAGCTCAGCACTGCCCAGGCCAGGCCAGGGAGAGGCTCTGAGTCTTGATGACAAAGTATCTCATAACTGAACCAACTATCAGCTTTCTCCCCACTCTGCTGCTGAGCAGCCTGGGGTCTCCACAAGTGATGCCTGCAGACCAGGCCTGAGCAAAGCAGTGCTGAGCCACGTTCTCACAGCAGATCAGCAGAGAACTTCAGTCTCCAGGGCCTGAAGCAAATCTCTCTCACAACACTACATTCACAAAAACAAAGGCGGTGTTGAGCACCACTGGTGTGATCCTGCTGCCTCAGAGGCAGCTTTCCATGGGAGAGCTTCCTTTCATTTGCTTTTGTTGGTCATTTCCAACAGCAGCACTTGAAGGGAACTTTATTGTGCTGGAGACAGAGGCATTCTGGAGGGCTGCACAAGGGAAGCGTGCATCTGGGGAGTTTTCAAAACACATTATCCAAACCTAAGGGTCACTACATTCCAGGATGTCAGTGTCAGCTGGACACTTATAAATAGCTTCAACAGTCTGAATAGCATGACCTATTGTGTGTCAAAACCCTCCTTCAGAGGCTTTTTCAACATTACTTCCCACTGCAGATACAAACAGCTGGTAAAAATAAATGAACTTATCATCACTTTGTTTGGCAGCAACGAGCTGCTCCCACGCGGAATTTATGCTCTGGAAACTGAGGCACAGTGATATAAAGTGGCACCGAGAAAGCTGTGAGCCCTGCAGAGAGAACAGCTTGGAACACCTGAATCATGAGATTTCCATGACACTGCTGGAGGAACAGCATCAGAGCCGAGACACATCCTGAGGGCAGACCTGTGCCCCATGTCAAATGGAAAAGAGACATTGCTTCCAGGTGAAAGGCAAACTAAGACCATCAGATCACCAGATCTACTGGGTCTGCAGATCCCTATAAACTCTCCCTGCACAAAGGAAGCAGATTTCCTCCTAATGGAGTTGGCCACTCAAGCCATGCTGGAGCCAAGCCATTTCCCTTTGGTGCCCAAATGAGTGCCAAGCACCTTGGGAGCTCTTTTTTTTCTTTCTTTCTTTTCTTAAAAGAAAAGTAACAGAATACTGATGTAAGTACTCCAAGCATTCTTTACCCACACCAAAGAACACAAATTAAGCTTAATGTTCTCCGGAACTAGGCAATATTTTAGGTTCCTGTAACACCTATGAAAACCTGCACAGGCAGCAGCAGGCACACCAAATTAACATTAAAGGTATTTATATATGATACCAATTCAGAAAGAATTGCAGTGAGACAGTCATGGTGTTTCCATTCCCTGCCATTGGCTTTACCTTAATCCCCTCCTCCCAGAGCCTAGAAACATTAGCTTTCTTAAATGAGAACCTCAAATCAATTTTCCTTTATGCAAGTTTTAAGTAAGTTGCAGTTTTGCAAATTCATTCTTGAGCTGGAAACTTTTGGGCCAGGATTCAAAGAAATGAAGCAGAGTTTGAGATTCTTGGCAAAAAGTAGCTTTCAAAGAAAACAGTAGCAGGGACTTGTTTGTGCTCAAACGGCATCCCAATAATTCAGACAGCCACCACTGCTGTTCCCATTTATTTAGTAATATCACACCAGACTTTCGTGACTTTGGAGAGCTATGCTACTTAATGCGGTAAAAATGTTTTCAGCTCTGCAAGGCTACAAGACGCATCACCGAGCTATTTCACGAGAGCAGCCTTCCAACAACAACAGAAAATTCAAGCGGTAGACAAAGAATAGTTTAGAGCCGACACAGATTTTAGCCAGATTGACTTCCGATAGCAGTTATACAACATGTGAGCTGCAGAGAGGCGGCTGAGCGCGGGTCACGCTCCATATTTGCTGTACAGCATTCCTTACCCCGGGACCAGCCAGCCCGGAGGGGCTGCTCTGCCCGGCTTTGCACCGCGCGTCTCTCGCAGCGTTACACACACACACACCTCGCTAAGTTACTGTCGCAGAGGGTTTGGATACCAGCGCTGTGTAAACAGTTCGCGTTTCGGAAGGTCTGACCCCCTTTCTGTGCCGCCCGCCCGCAGGCACAGGCACCGGGCACGCTCCGGGAGCATCCCGGACATCCCGGCAGGAGCCTCCGAGCGCGGCGGTACCGCTCCAGCTCCGGCTCCGGCTCCGGCTCCGGCTCCAGCCGCGGCCCCTCCGCCCGCCCTTCCCTTCCCTTCCCTCCCGCCCCCGGCGCTGCGGGACCTTCCCGCAAGGACCGTCCCCGCACCCCCGGCCCCGCCCGCGCCCTCCGCAGAACCCCCTGCCCCGCATCCCCCCGGCCCCGCATCCCCCCGGCCCCGCATCCCCCCGGCCCCGCATCCCCCCGGCCCCGCCGCCCGCGGGCTCGTCCCCGCGCCGGGGGGAGGCAGAGCCGGGCCGTGCTCACCGAGAATCGCTCCAGGTCGGTGGCGGCCATGGCCGGGAGCGGCGGTGCCCGCGCGGGAGGATGCGGGGAATGGATCCAATATGGCCACTTCCTGGAACTCCCCCCGCCCGCCGCAGGCACCGCCCGCCCGCCGACCGCGGGCACCGGGGCCGGGCGGCACCGCCGGGGCGGGACAGGACGGGACCGCCCCCGCCGGGGAGGGACCGAGCCCGGCCGCGCTGGGGGGACCGGGGGGCGCGGCCCCGGCCGGGGAGAGGCCGGCGATGAGCGGCGAGCACCGCGCACCGAGCACCGCGCACCGAGCACCGCACACCGAGCACCGAGTACCGAGTACCGAGCACCGAGCACCGAGCACCGGCGGGAGCAGCGCTGGGAGCGCCCGCACCGCAACGCGGGGAGAATCGTGCCCGAAGCACCCCCGGCAGGGTTCACACAGCCCCGTGTCCCCATCGCGGGAGAATCGTCCCCGAGAGCGGCCGTGGGAGGGCCGGGAGCACCCCCGGCAGGGTTCACACAGCCCCGTTCAAAGGTCGGACTCGATGACCTCAGACGTCTTTTCCGACCTCGCTGATTCTGTGGTTTCCCCGTGTCGGGAAGCTCCCCAGCGTCCAGCAGGCTGGCAGGGCATCATGCACCGCAGGGCATCACGCACCGCAAGGCATCACCCACCGCAGGGCATCTCACACCGCAGGGCATCACGCACCACAGGGCATCACGCACCGCAAGGCATCACGCACCACAGGGCATCACGCACCGCAGGGCATCACGCACCGAGGTGCCGCTGTCACACGCGGGAGCCGCACCGACGTTGCGGGCACAGCGTGGGTTCGAGCCGGGACACGAGAGCTCACGGCCCTCACGCTGCCTGTGTTTATGTAAGTTAAAGAATGCAGCAGAGGACTGGCGAGCCTGTCTTCATCATTCCTTCCCCCAGAAAGCACAAAGCAGCCCCACCGCCTCGCTCTCTGTAGCTGCCCAGGCGCTGGTGTTCCATGAGCTGGTAGCACAGAGCGGTTCCTGTTGCTTGCGGGTGCCCTCTGCTGCAGTGCAGCCCCGGCACAGCTCCCACAGCCACGGCTGCTCTCGGCCCCTGGACCAGACCTGCACCCCTAATCCTAATGGGTTCGGATTAGATATTAAAATAGATATTAAATATTAGAAAGAAATTCTTCACTGTGAGGGTGGTGAGGCATTGGGACAGGTTATCCACAGTAGTTATGACTCCCCAGCCCTGGAAGTGTTCAAGACCAGGCTGGATGGGGCGTGCAGCAACCTGGTCCAGATGCAAGCAGAACAGTTTATATAGGAGCAGAGCTAATTTTCCAGGCTGCCTTTATATATCACAAGGAAGCAAAAATAAACAGATAAAAAGACTAAAAAGTTCCTTTTTTCCCCCCCCTTTACAGATGGCTTTATGAGTCCTGATTTAAGACAAAATGCCAGGTACTTTAGGAGAAGTAATTGACTTCGATTCATTAAGAGCTCTTTCCCCCGACAATAAAGTGCACAATGTAACAAAACAAGGCTCACAAAAGCTGGTTCCCAAACAGCTGCTGGTTTCTGTGAGCTGCAGGTCAGATGCAAAGATTCAGAGCATAAAGGAAATCGTGAGACATTTCAAGAGATCAAGGGCCAACACTGCTGTCTGCTGGCTCTGAGCTGTGCTGCTCAGCCCTCCTGCAGCTGGAGTCCAGCAGTGCTGCCACCAGCGTGGGGCAGAGCTCTGGGACAGCAGAGCATGTGTGAAAGGTCGAAATTATTTTTAAACACCTTGTTATTTCAAAAAGCACACTGTTTCTGATGCCAGTTCAAGAGAAGCCCTGCTAATTTCAGAAGGTTCAGTTGCATAAAAACTGTTTCAAGAGAAGCAAATTGGATTTGGTGGCTCCTTTAACTGCTAAGGCATCAATTGTTCTGCAAATTATTCCTAATAGTGCCTTAATTAATAGTATATTACAGTGCTGGATGCTACTGCAAAGCTTTTAAACTCTGTGGAATATTTGTACCTGCTAAATCCACACTTCTAGCAGCTTCTAACCAAAGCCACTCTCTGTGCCCCTCCCCCACCAAAAAACCCAGCCACCTCAACCCACGACAGCTATGAACTTCCTACAGGTGAAGAGCTGGGGCAGAGAGCACAAAGGACTGGAGAGGCACAAATGTGTCCCTGGAACCTCCTTGTCCTGGGGAGAGGAGGGAAAATGCCCCCTCCCTGCATGGATGGTGGCAGTGCAGCAGCACAGTTCTGATGGTGGGGAGATCAGCAGGAGTTGCTTTACCTCTTCATGTTGTGACCCAGGAACAGGCAAGGAAAGTGGAGAGAAGTAAATGCTAAAACAGACCCTTGGACTTCACAGGCAGCCACAGAGAGCAAGAGGTCATCCCACCTGCCACACAAGTGCAGCAGCAAGATCAAGGCCTTCTGAAGATGGCTGCATCTTCCAGGGCTGAGTAAAAACCTTGATCTTCAAATCCAGGCTGTGCAGATGAACAGAACTCCTTCAGGGTTTTCAACACAGGCCGGAGGAAGCAGCTTATTAGTAACTCTATATTCCTCACAGTGTGTCCTGGGGATTACTAGAAACCAAATGGTTTATAGCTACACTTTTAGCAGCAGCACCACCAAGCACTTTATATTAAAATTTCATTGGTTATACTGACAATATATGGAGCTCATAAGGCATTTCTACAGAAATGCTACCCTTCTGAGCTGAAAGCCAATAGGAGATACATGGAAAACTGTGTTTGAACGGTTGCTGTTAAGAAACCTTTTCTGAACTGGTTACTGAGGCCCTTGAGTTAGAGCTGAACCTTGCTCATTTATGAGAAAATGTCTTTTATCTGTAAATAATCTTCCCCCCCCCCCTTCCTGCCCCTTCACAGACTTTTGCTCAGTTGTTTATCTATGGAAGGTTACTGCATTTCTCCATGGAACAAAGGAAGAGCTATTTTCCCTCACAATGTGTGCTCTTTGTTTCACATGAGGAACATACCAACAAGGAAAGTGGAAAATCATGGGCTTTGTTATTCTATTTATTCTGGGAACCCCGATTTCATTTTGGAGGAAAGTAAGTTTTTCTTAAGGTACAAATCCCATCTGTGGTCAACAGCACCTAACTTTCACCTTCCTGCAAAGCAGCAGCATCCTGGCTGACAGGGACTATCCCCCACATTCCCTTTTCTTCCTCTGTTGCTTCCAACCTGGCACTTTGTCTCTCTTGGGGCTCTGAGAATATCATGTGGGAAGGAGCAAGGATACCAGGATACCATCTCTGTCAGTTCTGGTCAGTAGAAACTTTTCTCTGACTGGATGCTGTGCTCGATCTCCCACTTCATTTCCTGGTTTTGTGTGGGGTGGATAATTACAGTCATATAACCTTCACCTTCCACCTCTGAGGGGGTGGGAAAAGCCCCCAGGTTCACTATGCAGTTTACTTCACTGTAATAATGATAACTTGAAGGTTTGGGAAGCTTCTTCATGGGAAAGGTAACTCTCCTCAGCCCCATGGTTATAAATAGAGGCCAGCTCTCTACAGCCTGTGATGCAGAACTAGCAAACTGCAATATTGGTGTTTAAAAAAGAAGTAGTAAATTAATTTAATCAAGGGATTCTGTACATTGTTTTTGTCCCAGCCAGTAAATTAAAAATATCAAGACAGTTGGCTTAAAATCTCCTACAAAACAGCCCACGATATTCTGTAAATAGCCCCACAAAAAATACTTGCTTTGTAGGTTTTTGGTGACACAGAAAATGAGGCAAAACTTCTCACGCTTTTTAAGGCTGGGAATTTCAGATGACTGATAAGCATAAAACCCTAATGCTCCAGGATTTTATTACCTATATTAATAAAATTCATTCAAACAGTTTAATTTCTGCTGCACAATCTGATCAGAGTGTGACCAGCGCCCAGCAAACTAAAAGATGCTCACTGGGAGCTGGTACTTGGCACTCATCCTGAAAGGTGGGGAACCAAAAGGCATTAACAGCCCAAAGGAAAGGCTGGCAAACATGATGTGCCCCATGCTGTGGTCTGGAAATCCTATGGAGGATTAGCCACAAGTTTTTTCCTTTATTGCAGGAAGTATAGAAGGTTACTGTGGGTGTTCAGTTACTAACACCCACTGAGAGAAAGGCTGTGAAGAGGAGCACAGCCACATGCTACAGGTTGCATGTGGGACAGTGGTTGGAGGCATTACCTGGGTGAAGAGGTCCTTGGGCAGAGTGGTTGAACAAGAGCAGCCAGTTCACACTGGGCATGGCACGAGGTGCACGTGTAGACATCCTGTCTCCTCCTCTCTGACCTCCTGGGTCTGTGCCCTTCTGCTCTGCAGCCATGAGAAAGGGATGCCAGGACCTGCAGTGGGGAGCAACCTCAGTAACTCCCCTCTTTTTGGACCGTGACCCAAATCAAGCCCCTGGGGAGGTGATGGGACCTCGGACTCAAGGCTTGGCTGCTGAGCAGTGAGGTGTCCTGGGAGCCTGGTGCATGGAGACCTCTGTGCAGGAATGGTGCCTGGCTGGGGATATAATGAGTGGGATGGGACACCTCATGTGCACCCTCATGGTCTTAAGGATACAGGGGTGTGATGCCTGTGCAGGCAGGGATGGGGTGCAGTGAGCCCAAGGACATACCCTGACACACTTGAACCAAATCAAGCAACAGGAGCAACTTCTCCCTTAATATTTGTAACATAAGAAAACGTTTTTAAGAAGAGCCTATTCTTCTGAACTATTTTCACTCCTCTCACTCATTTGCAGACATGAACTGTAATCCTCGGGTAGAGCTGAAAGTTTGCAATGCAAAAATCACAGACTGCTGAGATTTTCTTACACCTGCAATGGATTCTAGTAAGGATGTGAACAGTGGAAGCAAGGCCCAACAATTGATATTTGGATGCAGGCTCACTATTAGGTCTCTACGTAGGCTGGGCAGACTGTGGTGATGCCACAAGCTAAGAGCAGTGCTCATACAGCAGAGGGGCTGCTCAGCGAGGGTGAGGCTGCCACGTGTGCCATGGAACAGGCAGCAAAGAGAGGTGTGCCATTCACATGGAAACACGGAGCTACTACAAGAACATTACACACCATTATATGAAAGAGCATTAAAGCAGCAAAATGATTTTAAGGAACTGGCTTGGCATCAGCTCATTAGCAAGAGATGAAATAGTTTTTCAGACATTTGCACAAAGAGAGAAGGGTAAAGACTGCCAAAGGAAGACTGAGCTGTCTGTGGGAAGTGGCTCTTCCACCCTCAGTAAAAGGTGTGAAGAAGCAGAAGGGAGGTCAGCATGAGCAAGGGGGGAGAGAGATGCACTGGGTGGGGGATATGACAATATATATACAATAATATATAGCATCACATAGAGGTGAGGATATTTCAAAAGACTGACCCATCCACCAATCTCCTGACTCATTTTGAGGCATCAGACTCTAACCTAGCAGGATCGCAGCTCCCGCAGGACACCAGAGGCTTCTCCGGGAATGGAGACCGAACTTCGCAGTGCTTTCTACCTAAAGCTGCTTCCACTTATTTGCTACTGAGACAAACAAACAAAACGCACTCGTTTCAGGAAGCACGAAGACGAGCAAATCGATGAAGGGTTGTCCCCTGCCCGAGGAGTCTCCGGAGAACTGACAGCGCCGTGCCCTCACCCAGGGCTCAGTTCCCCGAGGAGGACATCAGCGCAGCGGGCGGCCGGGGCCAGGCTCGGCTCTGGGTGCGCTCCCGCCGGCCCCGCCCGTGCCCCGCGCGGTCCGGCCGCTCCGCGGGGTCGGGGCTGGGGCTCGGAGCGGTGCTGGGCCCGGAGCGGTGCCCGGAGCGGTGCTCGGTGCTCGCAGCCGGCGGCACCTGCGGCGGCGGGCGCGGAGGTGCTCGGACCGCCCCGGCACCGCCCCGGCACCGCCCGCACGGGGAGAGGAGCGGCCCCGGCGCTGGCACCGCCCGTGGGGCGGCACTGCGGGGCCGGCCCGAGCACCTCCGCGCCCCGCCGCAGGTGCCGCCGGCTGCGAGCGCCGCGGGCCCGTCGGGCAGCAGCACCTGTGGGGCGGGATGGCGGAGCTCGCCCTGAGCGCCGAGGCGGTGCTGGGCTTCCTGCGGGAGCGCGGCGGGCGGGTGCGCAACGCCGAGCTGGTGAGCGCCTTCCGGCCGCTGCTGGAGCCCGCGGGGGCCGGGGCCGGGGAGGCGGCGGAGGGGCGGGCGGAGCGGCGGGAGCGGTTCAAGGCGGCGGTGAACGCCGTGGCCACGGTGAAGGAAATCGACGGCACCAAGTTCGTGGTGCTGCGGCGGGAGCTGCGCGCGGCCCCGACTGCGGGGGGCGCGGGGGCGCCGGGGGGCGATGCCGGCCCGGCACCGGTGCCGCTCCCTGTCCCTGACCCCAGCCCGGTGCCTCTCCATGATCCCGGCCCGGTGCCGCTCCCTGTCCCTGACCCCAGCCCGGTGCCGCTCCCTGACCCCGGCCCGGTGCCGCTCCCTGCCCCCGGCCCGGTTCCCGGCCCCGCCGGGACGCCCCCCGAGGAGCCGCCGGGGCCGCGGGCGGTGTGGGAGCTGCGGGGCCTGTTCCAGGGCGGCGGCGGGGGGGTTCCCCTGCCCGGCGGCGCGGGGGGGGCCCGGCGGGAGCCGCCCCCCAAGCCCTGCATGCTGCCCGTGCGATGCGTGCCCGTCCCCGCGCCCGCGCCCACCGGGGAGCCCCCGGCAGCGCCGTCCGAGCCGCCCGCAGCCCTGTCCCCGCCGTCCCTGGAGGACGAGGCCGGGTCCCGCTCCCCGGGGCTGCGGCGGGGGCCCAAGGCCCACCGGGGCAGCGAGGAGACCGTGGTGCCGCTGGAGCAGGCGGAGCACCAGTGGCTGGTGCTGGCGGCCGGCGGGCAGTGGACGCAGCAGCTCCACGGGCTCCTGCTGGGCGATGCCAGCCTGGCGGCCCGCAGGGACTTCGTGTCCGGCTTCACCGCCCTGCACTGGGCCGCCAAGAGCGGCAACTGCGACATGGTGACCAACATCATCCGGGCGGCCGAGAAGGGGGGGGGCCCGGGTCAACGTGGACGCCCGGGCGCACGGCGGGTACACGGCCCTGCACCTCGCCGCCATCCACGGCCGGGAGAAGATCATCAACATGCTGGTCTACAGCTACCACGCCAACACCGACCTGCGGGACTACAGCGGGAAGAAGGCGCACCAGTACCTGAGGGAAGGGACCTCCCTGGCCATCAGGCGCCTGCTGGGGGACCCCAGCCTTTCCCAAAACACGGAGCACTCCGTGCCCATCAAGAAGTCCACAAAGCTTGCAGCTTCAATCTTGAGCTCCACTAGCACCTTCCTGGGGGTCATATCCGATGACATGGCTTTCTACGATCTCACCAAGGGCTTAAGGAAGCCCTCGACTTTAAACAAGCTTCTGGCTGCCACTACGGGCCCGAGGAGGAAGCCAAAGACCAGAGGGGGCTTCCCTTCGTATTCCTCCCTCTCCGAGGTGATGGAGGAGGAGGAAGAGGTCATCGTGAAACGCAGACCGGTTTCTGAGCTGTTCTTTGGCCACTAACCTCTGCCTTACTGTGATCAACATTGTTCAGTAACGTGGCTGGTGTCTCAGTTTTCTCTCGCAGACGCAGTTTGGATTTCTTCTCTCCATGTGTGTCGTTTTGGATGTCTGACTAAATGGCTGATACGGTCTGGATCCAAAGTCCACGGGATGGAAACCCAGCTCCAGGTGCCTGTGGGAAGGGAGCTGCCAGGAAGTGCTGTCCATGCTGTCTGCACCATCGTGCAGAGGCACTGGTGGGGACCACAGACTTAATGCTTGAAAAACTAAACCAACCTCTGTGTGTGTAGACAGGTGAAAATGCTCGAGGTACAGCCCTCTTGCTGTGTGTTCCTGGGCTGGAGAGCAGAGGAAAGGTGAAGGATTGCGTATTTTACACTGTGAACAGCAAGCTGGTAGCTGGCTGCTTTACCAGGGCTTGTTATCTAGCAGGCTTAAATTATCAGAGGAAAGATACATAGTTTTCTATGATGTTTCTGATTATTTTGGTAGAAGAAGAGGGATATTTCTATTTACAAAAATTGTGTACTTTTTCAAAACAAAGTTTCTCACTATCAGAAATACTAACAACAATCTCAGTTGTTGCCTTATGCATTTCTTTAGATGAACAACTTAAAGAAAACGGAACCCAACCTTCAGCACTCAAGTCACCGTGACTTGTCTACCTCAGTTTGGAAGCTTGGTTGGCGTTTTAAATTTTTTTTCTCTTCCTAAAAGACTTTTTGACCAGGTGGTACTAACCACATCTTGATGATACTGTGAACATTCAAACGTGACTATAGTTCAATCAACTTAATCTGAATAAAAACCTTGTTGATAGTGAAAAACTGAACTGAAGAGCTGGGAATCAGAACCTGCAGAGTTTCTAAGTAGCCAACTGGAAACAAAGTTGGGCTTGTATGTCTGATTCTTTTTGTTTAAAACTTGGCCTTTGATTTTGACCTATTTACAATAAATGTTTATAAACATTGGGCTTTATGTTATGTTAAGTGTTTCATGATGGAATGTCTGCATGACCTCTTGCAGTGATGTTTATCTTGACAGCATGATTCATTGACCTAAAACCAGCTCGTCTTTTGTATGATTAACATAATTGTTCTATGTATAGAGCTACACGTAGCTCCAAAAAGCATGCTAACTGCAGGTTAAGTAGTATATTTTCAGTGAGATTATTATTTTTTTAATTACCATTTGGTTAAAGGTAACGCAGAGAGGCAGAGCTGTGAACAGAAACTGTCCAGCTCCTGGGGCCAGTCTGCTAAAACAGCACGTTTCCTCTAAAAATGTGACTGGAAACCTGTATAATTCTGAGGTGATGAAGGTGAGAGCAGTGCTGTGCTGGCTCTGCTTTGCAGCCCCATCAGGTGTTTTGGTTTCCACACAGAAACACTTGTTTGCATGCTTTACCTTTCTGTCCCAGTCAGTGACTTCAGGAATGTGGGTTTTTTCTGCCTTGAATTAAGCCCAGTACTTGTAACTGGCTATAATTGGCTTGTCCCACATGCTCAGCAAGGAATGCTGTGGGACTGAAGGTGGAGGCAATGCCCTCTTTGCTTTCAAATGCTCTCCCTGAAGTCCCTGGAGTTGGTTGGGAGCGTGATCAGAGCTTGCAGTGGGCTCTGGTGCACCCGTTCTAGGAAGAGACTGGATTATTCTGCACCGGTCTGCTTCTGTATTGAACTAATTAAGTTGTTAAGCAAAGGTTAATGATCAAGCACCTCATGACTTCTATATCTGGAGTAGGGTTTAAAAACAATAAAATCCAATTTGCTGCGTAGCTGTTGTTGACTGTTGGCCAGTGTGGTCCTTGGAAGCCTTGATTTGTGCTGCACTGTGTCAGCTCACAGAGTTCCACCTAGAAAAGGGCTCTGTTTTAAAGTGTCTTTCTAAGTGTATGGATGTGGAACACTTTTTTCCTGTATTTCCTGGAACACAGAAGTGTGTGTGTGCATTCCTGTTACCTGAGGCAGGGCTGGTGCTGCCTGGGTTAAAGTGCTTGTTTCTGTGGGAATTGCAAACACTCTCCAGTTTGCCTCGGTCTTACAGGGAAGTTTGTTCACTGGTTATGGCTCTGGGCTTGATACCTGTTCAAACAACATCGCTGAACTTTTAGTGCTCCCTCTGAATAAAGCTTACCTGAGCTGGAGGCAGGGTTCAAGGATGGAGTGTTCTGTGTTTAAAAAAGCCCAGCTGACTAACCTGTACAGCATGGCTGTGACTTCATCTCCAGGAAAGTCGGGAGGAGGTTTCATTGCTCCTGTGTTGTTCTGTCAAAGAAGTCACAGATGAGATAAGCCTTCATTACAACACGTATCATCAAGGAAATTCTGCACTACTCCTTCCTCAGAGGCATTGTGGGATGAGCTGGTGTGATAGGACAATGCCCAGCAGCAAGAGCCCTCTCAGCAGTGCCAGGGAGTGCCCCAGGCTTGGCAGGAGCTTGGGACACAAAGGTGGGGCACTCCACGGTCGGTGCTGGGGGTGGGCTGGGCTGGGCTCAGGCTCTGCCAACGAGTTTGTGCAGTGACTCAGCTCGTTCCTCTTCCTTGTTGAGCAGATGAAGGAAAAGATAATCTCCAGGCAGGCTGGGATTAGTACACCCAGAGCAGTACAGCTTCAGGTGTAGACAGGTACTGGGAGGTATTGAGAATGCACTGCTGTCATCTTAAAAATGTATATAGTGCCTTTGCTTTGGAGTAAAACCAGTCTGTCAGCCTGGCTGGGTTTTGCTTTCCTGAGTTGTTGTTTACACTGTGGAAGGGACTCTGCAGGATGATCAGTGATCGTGGGAGTGTTTTCCTGCCAGAGACTGAGGCCAGGACTGTTTTATGAGTCCCTCAGCTTGACTGATTCTCTTTAATTTCACTGTCAGGCCCAAGTCTGGCTGAACACAGTGGAATTTTGACCTGAGTGAATGAGAGCTGTGGAGTTTAGCTGCCTTCCACATCATCAAAGCTAATAGCAGGAAAGGTAATAACAAAACAACCTGAGCCCCCCAGGCTCTGCTTCTGCCCTGTGGAGAGGTTTTAGTGGTGGGGAGGGGTGGCAGCTTTGGGAGGCTGGCAGTGGAAGGCACAGGTAAGGCACAGGAGCTCAGGTTGGATTTTGCCTTGGTTACTACCCTGCCTACTTGCCACATCTCAGTTTTCCTGCTATAAAATGGAGATAATCACCTTGGTCACTTCTTTAAAGCACAGTCAGTGCTGCTACTCCAGCTGAAATCAAGATAAGGTTTTTAGAGCTGGAGGCAGCACGAGCAGTGTCGTTCAGTGGAGCACCTACACAAATCAAACCAGCTCAGATTTTAGTTCAGCAGCACTGGAGATCAGCAGAACTAATGTTTGTCTGACCCTGGCTCAGTCTGCTGGGGATGACTTGGTTTGTCTGTTCCTCAGGCATTTTGTTCTGATGGGTATCAGCTCACAAACCTGCTCTGAGGAGCTCTGCAAACAAACCTCAAGCTGTGATTCTGCACAGAGGGGCAGACTTTGACCTCCTGGATGTGTTTGAGCAGTGTGAGGCCATCTCCATTCCCTTGTGAGTGCTGCAAGAAGCAACTGCACTAGCAAAGCCCTGGGAAATACTCCTGCACTGCAGAGGAGTCTGAATGAGGTTTCAGCTTCATCACAAACCCAAGGTCCAGTGGAAGAGTTGCTGAGTAACTCCAACAGACCAACAGGAGCTGCAGCCACCAGCTGGAGGTGGAGGAGGCCTCCTGAGAGTCCCCTGGTTCTCCAGTGCTCATCCCTTGCTCCCACTCCTCGTGTCTCATCATGACCCACATTCCTTGGATGCATTTGTCTCCTGATTTGCATATTAATCTGAGTAAAATGGCAGCATGGCAGTTTTTGCTCTTTCCAGTCATTTGTGCTGTTGTGGGACCCCCAAATTAAGAGGTTGTTAATGGGGACTTGGCCAGAGTGTAGCTTGGGCATGAACAGCCTGGTGTTTGTTTGCTGCAGGGGGAGAACGGGGACAGAGCAGGACAACACAGATCAAAACCTCTGCCTCCTAATGAGGAACATTTCTGTTCCAGTTCCAAGGTTTGTTTCACTAATTTATAAGACAAAGCAAGTCATTAAGCACATCAAACCCTTATACTGTGTGTAACCCCAAACCAGGCAAAATAGATCCATGCTGTCAATATTAGCACAGCTTTAGTATGTCTTCTTCCCCTTCTGTGAGGAAGAAAAGAGAGATGTGCACAACAAAAATGATGCTGCCAGTGTTCAGCTTTCCCTTCCTTGGTAGGAATTCTGCTCTGTGTTTGCCCAAGAGAAAAATCATCCATCCCCATCACTTTGAGACCCTCCAGACAAGGTAAGAGGCCCCAGCTGAGAGGCACAACACGTACTGTGGACTCACTGGTGGCACAAACCAAATAACCTTCGTTTCCACGGAGTGGAACACGAGTCCCAAAATGCACAAGCCTCTGACATGAGGTCGTACTGGGGTGCCAGGCCCTGCCCTGGGTGTCCTCACCCAGTGCCTCCTGCACGAGGCAGATGGTCACACCATCAGACTCACCCCTGTACACACAATGACAAGCTGCAGTGGCACAGACACACCTTCTCACCCTGGGCTTTGTGTTGTACTTCCTCCCATCCCTGTCCCACAGTGGTTTCCCCCTTGGCAGCAAAGCAGGACAGCTCCACTCTGGGCAGGGTCAGCCCCGGCTGGAGCAGCTCCTGCCTCCCCAGCAGCCCCTGTGGCCCTGCAGGACACTCACCCTGTGCTCAGGAGGGAGCAGCTGCACCCAGACAAGGGCCCTGCAGGCAGCAGCCGTCGCACTGGGAGCTGTCACAGGGATCTCGGGGGGAATTGTTTCACAAGTGGTTCCCATTTCAGGTAGTTTGGGATGTTCTTGCTCTTCCACCATGTGCTGAGCCCATTAGAAAGACCTCTGGCTCTTCATGCACATTTTTAGAAGTGTCTCTTATTCTCTAAATCAAGACTATCTGTGCAGCCCATATTCTCTCTCTGTGGATTTATCTCTGAGATGACTCAGCTTCAAGGCTCATGTGGTATTTTAGAGTCTCTCTGATAACCTTTAATGCCTCTCTTTGTTTAGCAGTGAAATTCATGTGCTGCTTCTCGAGAGCCTTTTGTGAACCCCAGAGGTCGCATGATTCCTACAGGCTGATTATTCTTTAATGTCTACGTGGGCTCCCTTCAGGCACAGATTAGTTTTGCAATTCTGCTCTGAGTTTATTTTTAAAAATTATTCGTATGGTTGCCATGAATTCCCAAAGCAGAGAGAACATCTTTTTACTTATTAAATGCAGCTCTCACAAGCAGCAAATAGATCTTTTGCAGAGTACATTTGCATTAACTCCTGCATCCCTCCATTCCTTAATTAGTTCTACGTGCAGAAGTTCCTCAACATAAAACGCCAGTGAAGAAAAATGAGACTGGGGCTTAAAACAAAATAATTAAGATCCTTCAATTTAGTGCCCAAGAGGCTGAAACAGCGGCTCCTGTTCCAGCAGTGACTCTCACACATTGCAGTGGGTGTTAAATGAAATTCTAAAATGTCTAAAATCTTTTCAATTGCTGCCAAGACAGATGGGCAGGATGTGCTCTGCTTCCCCTGACCGCTCCTCCACCCCACAGGTGCCACGGCTCCTGCTCTGCCTCAGGCCATACAACTCATCTCCTGATCCCAAACCAGAACAGAAGCTGCTGCCCTTCTTCCCCCACTCTGCCCGTGTGTGGGTGGCCAGAGGAGTTGCAGAGATCTCCTGGAATCCCACCAGCCTTCCCCACCACGGGGAGATCCTGCGTTTTGCCTGTGCCACCTCTTCCTTCTCCTCAGCACTCCTCTTTGGCTCTTCCCTGGGTGTAGCTGCCATCAGTTCACCTTTCAGCTCCCCCAGGGCTCAGGTAGCAGTGCTCAGGTGCTGGGTCACGTTAAAGTATCAGCTCACAGGCTGCACCAGGAGCCTGCAGGGCTGGGGGGATTCCCTGCCTGCTCTCCCAGAGGGTCAGGGGCCAGCAGCTCCTCCATTCCTCACATTCCCCAGCTCACACACAAGTAGCTCAGCAGGTCTCAGCACGGGGGAGTTGCCAAGGCCCAGCAGCCCCTGGAAGCCAAGAGCTGCCCTGGGCAGAGGTAACTTGGTGTCACTGCTGCACAGGTCACCAAAGGGAGGCTGGTGAGGAGGAGTGTGAACAGTAACAATGCACAAGCACCGCACAGGGTTTCAGTTCCAAAATCCTTACATTTGCAAGATTTGCTTCCCCAGGAAGACCACCAGTCACTGCTACTTACAGTTCAGGTCTTAAATTTGTCTTCTGATGGTAAAGGGTCAGAAAAACCTGTCTGGAGCAGTGTGAGATCACAGTGTTGTAACTCAAAGATGCTCTGCGTTTCTGGCCATCTTGGCTTCTAAACCACAAGGCTGGAAGTTGGAAAAAAGCTGCCACAAACAATGGTTATTGGTATGGGGATATAATTAGTGCTCTAAATACCAAACCTTCAGCAGAAGGCAGTAGGATTCAAAGGCACTCTTACCCTGTGTAAAACTGGCACACATGGCAGCTTGGTCTCTGTGCTCCTGGAGTTCTTGTGCCCAGTGAAATGCAATTCCAAAGGATAAGATGCCTCAGGAACAGCTTCTGTCAGTGGTGATGATACTTACTGTAGTCAGGACACACTCCACTAGTAAAACATTTCTTGGTATAGCCCAACATCCTGGGACAATGAATATCTATTCTGGCTCTGGAAGAAACCTGAGTTCAATTAGTGGCTGCCTTATTCATGGTCTAGGTATGCAGCTCAGATGGAATATTGTTCTCTCTGAATACTTACAAACAAGCAAAACACACTCAGATTTTAAATACAGCAACATCCCTGGTCTGACTCAACACACAACATTTGTTTAAAAGATGTTTGCCAAGGGATTTATATAAAGTCTCTCTGAAACCCAATAACCTCCCCCAGGGCTCCCACCTGCCCCAGGCTGCAGCAGAGCTCTGCCCCCTCATCCAGTGCACACTGACAATTGAAAACTACCCAAAAGCAACCTCCTGAAGGTGCTGCTTGAAAAACAAGCACTTCAAAAGCACAGCAAGGACTTTGCAAAGGACTGTGCAGGAATAAGCTCAGAGTTTATGATTCTCAACACTGTTCATCTGAGCTGACTCCATCACGGGTCGGCTCTTTGATGTCAGTGAGGACCACCCTTCTTCTGACCTCCTCTGAACAGCTCCCTGGGATTGCACAGAGCCAGGAAAGACTCAGGGATGGCAACTGCCAAGAAAGGAAGTAATTATTTTCTTCCATTACAGAGTATTTTTACTGTCACACATCTGAACAGCAGAAGTGAGTGCAGGAGTTTCACCGAAATGGTCCATAACATCTCCTGGGGCTCTGTGCAATCCCCCACTCAAATCTGAGCACCCACATCGTTTTTCACTTCAAATATTCAACCCACCCACAAGAGGTAAATATTTGTATGGTTCTTTTATTGAGACTGTGTCAACCTGGAAATAGATGGACAGTCAACAAGAGGGGTAAATACACGCCAAGTTAATAGGAGCAACACATCCTATCAGTCATGTCCCCATCCCATCAGTCATGTCTCACACTGTGAGACACTGTCAGCTGGCCTGTCCCAGTGGGATACACATCCAGGGTGTGCCTGGAGCATCCCCAGAGCATCTGAGCACCTGCCAGTGCTGTGGCACCAGCAGGGTTGGAAGAACTCACCCCGTGAGCCCTGTGCCATGTGGGTTCCAGGGCCAGGCCCCCAACACCAGTGTCTGGGCCGGGTGTTAGAGGGGGAGACTTTGCTCAAGAGTTTCTAATTGTTCTTCGAAGAACTTAATCTGCTCTTCGAGGTCCTTCTGTTCAATCAGCAAGGAGGTCTTGGCTTGAACAAAGTGCCGATAGTCCTGGAGCTGCTGCTCCGTCAGGTACTTGGCCAGGATTCCAGAGACCACCCGTTCCCTGCGCTCCAGGTTCTCCTTCAGGTCCTTGGCGTCCTCCCGCTGCCGGGACAGGAGCTTGTGCCTCTGGCTCAGCGAGTGCTGCAGGGGGAGAGAACAGAGCAGCCCCCTGTGAGAGCTCAGCACTCCTGGCAGGCTCTAGTTCTTCATTTGGAAGCCACAGTCGATTTAATTTAATTACTTCCTCTTGTGGGCTTTGTGCTCCACTTGAGTTTTTTCTCGATTGAATTACTCATTCTTGTGGCTTGTAAGGTAAAGACATGGTAAACCCCAGCAAGGCTCACTTCTTCCATGCCGCCCTCAGGAAAAAAAAAAATCAATATACTTAACATTCTGGGCATTTTAAAGCATCCTGTAGCCATCTTCATTCAATTAGAAGCTCTTTAAGGAACATGTCTTTGTATTTTGTGCGTTGCATGTGGCCAGAGTGCCAATGACATATTAAAAAGGTAGAGTGGCTTCTATTAAAAGGTATGTGCAATAAAATAACTGTGATGAAGAGAGTAACTGTTCATCAAAGGCTTGTTAACAAACCCACAAGAGTCAGGCCTTGCTTGTTCTACAGGATTTTTATACCTTTCACATTTAGCCAAGTCCCTTTCAGCTGCAATGATTTTCACAGGAATAACACTGCTGGAAAATGTCCCATTTCAGGACAGTGTCCATAAATCCAGCACAGATCAATCATTACTGTCGACACCCTAAAAACAGAGTCAAAGATTGACACTGCTGGTTCTGCTGCCATCAGGGCAAATGCAGTGAGCAGGAGATGGTTGTGAAAATGATGGCACAGAACCGAGTCTTTGTGGGGCATGTTATTCAAATGTTTGAATAAATGATTTAAATGTATTTCCTATGAAGAGTATAAACATAACACTAGAGAAACAACACCCTCCCTGCCAACCACAAAGCCAAAGTCTGGATGAAATACTGCTCAGAATTATTCACATTAACACAACTGACATTTTGGGGGTGGTAAATCCTACTCTTCATGTCACACTGCATGGAAGGACCTTTTTAGTGCAGTTCTGCTGGTGAACTGTGATGAACCTCCAGAGCTACAGGTCAGCAGCAGCACAGCTCCAGAAAATCCCAGTTTTTGTAACTCTGTGCTTTTCCAATTTCCAAATGAGAGATAACAGGAGGTATTGTGTTGATAAAAACGTGTAAAAGCAATAAGGACAGCAGGGAAGCATCACTCCTGGGATACATTTGGCTTGTCTTCTCTAGCAAAAAGGAGACTTTTCAGACTTGAAAAGATTTCCTGGTGACATGAGACAACTCCTCATTTTCCAGCAAATATGAGTTAAACTACAGGGCGTTTTATCTCAAGTTATGACCACATCTTCTTCCTGCTCCCCAGAACAAGCCCATTAAGTGAAGTGTGTTTTCAAAGGCAGTGAAATCACCAGTGGAGAAAATTAAACCCACAAAAAGCCCTGTGAAGCCCAGGTTTGGGGCTACTCCTCAGGGAGCAGCCCGAGGGTCCAGAGGCCACCCCTGTGGCTTGGACCCTCACAGGGTTCTGCTGTTGCCCCCCATCCCCTCTGCAGAGCTCGCTGGGCACTCCTGTGCTCCAGCACTGAGCCCTGGCACCAGACCTGCCGTGGCACAGACACTGCCTGGCACAGGCTGGATGGGACAGTTCAGCAGGAGCTCAGGGAGCTGTCAGACAAATGAGGTGAGCACAGCCTGCCCTGGAGAGAAGGAACCCACCAACCCAAACACCTGCTGGTCCCACTCACCCTCTCCTCGGGGTCGGTGCTTCCATCCATCCTGCTCATGGCGTTCTGGACCCGGGCCAGGCGGCTGGACAGGCACAGCAGGAGGCTCACCACCTTCTCCAGGTCCCCGATGAACATCAGGTACCGCTCGAACTCGTTGGGCTTGCACAGGTCCCTCACCGTGTCCTGCAGCCCCTGGCCCCGCCGGGCGCATTCCCGGGATTCCTGCAGGACCAGCTCCTGCTCCTCCCACAGGCTCTGCAGCCTGGCCCGCAGGCTGGCCATGAGCTCCAGCTGCAAAGGGAAAAACACCACCCCAGAAAGCTGTTACTGCCCAAGGGAACCCACGGCAGTTCTGGAGAGTGGATTTGCTTCCCATCGTCTTCGCCGAATTTTTGATTTCTGAAAGAATTTTAAGCTCCGGGAAAGAAAAAGGGGAAAAAAAATACAGTATTTCTAAGCCATACTTAATTCTCAGACTCTGAAAAGCAAATCACCTTAATGGGCAATATAATCCCTAGCTCAGCTTTAATCTGTCAGAAGGGAACTGCAATAAAGATTACAACATTACACAGAGTTGTGCTCTAAGACATCCAGGGCATGCAGCCACAGCTCTGCACCACTGGGAAGAACTGACTGGAATTTCATTTGTTACATGCACAGAAAAAGTCAGTTCCATGGGTGATTCAAGCAGGTCCCAGTGCCTGGGCAGCAAAGCAAGGAGAGGAGGCTGTTTGAGAGGGAAATGTTGATATGGAACAAGGCCTGGAGACCGGAGTGGGAGAGGACCACCACCAGTTCTTTGGCAGCTGGGCAGCACCACCATGGACAGCAGCAACAGGCAGACAATGGTAATGAAGGACATCACCACGTGCACAGCAGGAAGAGCTCCAGGATTGTCATTTCCTGAGAAGGAGCATGGCCAGGTTAATACAGGGGAAAAAGCCCCTCTGACCCTGCAGAGCTGCCCCATCGCCCTCCTGAGCTCTGCACGTCTGTCACAGCTCAGCTGTGTCCAACCCACCCCATTCCTGCATGGATGGAATTAACTGGACATTGGAATGTGCAGAAACTGCTGCCAGTTCTTAGAGTAAAAAATATTTCTTATTTAGGCTGCGAGTTGTAATTAACTCTGCAGATTTTGAGACTAGATTTGAGTGTTAAATGGGGAGTCAGGAGCTGGCCATGCAAGGAAATCTTTAACCAACCCTGTGTGCTTGTTCCAGGCACATCCATCCCCAGTGACCTGATGGAGACAAGAATGTGGGATCTGAATCAAAGCAGGCAGGATTTAAATACCACCATTTATGATCAATAAGCCAATTTGCCAGGACTTCACTTACTGGCAAAAATTGACTCAAAGTTACCTGTGAAACAGGCATAAAAATATCCACAATAATAATGACATTAATAATAGTAACTTTGTCCTGATGGTTCCTCTGATGTCATCTACATACTTTCTTAGATGTGATGTCATCTGGGTCGTTTGTGCTGTCCCTGCTCCTGGGCAGGACTTGGTGTCTTTCAGAGGTAGATTCTTTGCTCCTTCTCTCAGCTTCATGTTCAGATTCAGGACATTCTTCTGGGCCATCTCCATGGCTTTTCCTGCCACTGGAACAGAAAATAAACACCTGTAGCAAACAATGCTTTCTTCTTAAACATTGTGTTCATGGTTTTATCCATCTTGACTTCAGAGTCACTCTCTTCTCACAGTAGGAATTTTTCTAATTTTTTTAAAAGATACAGAGGAAAAGATTTGCAGCCTAGGTCTGTCACAGGCCCTTCAGCAAGGCATCATTGAAACCCTTTTCTTCCATCATATATCCGTAGCCTCAGGTGTTTCTTAGTATGTAGATCAGAAAGCTAAAATATTTCATTAACAAAACAAAAATAAAACAATATGCTCAATTTCATCTTACCACTGGTATATGATATCTTACTACAAGATATTCATATGCTAAAACAGAAAAATACCAGATAGTTGGTTTTGTCTACTTACTCCTTCTCCTGCACATGCTGCACGTTGCCCTTCTTCCTGTGTGATTTATCCAGCATGGAAATGTTAACGGGAAACAAACCCTCCATCAGGTCCAAAGCAGTTTTTCTGCCAGGATGAGGCATGAGAATGTCCACCAGAGACCTGTCCCTGGCCACGATCTCCAGAGCAAGCTCCTGGTCCCGCTGGTGGTGAGGATCCTGCAGCCTCCTCCTGGGCAGGCGTGTCCCTGTCCCCAGGGGAACATCCTCCTGTGCAGCTGAGCCTTTGGGGGCATTTCTGTCTCCTTGGAGAGGCTGAGCCAGTGCTGGGGGTGGGCACATTCCCTGCTCTGCAGGAGCTGCAGGATGCTGCCCTGGGTGCTTCAGTGCAGCATTCCCACTGGGACACTGAGTTCTGCATTCCTCCTCCACTCCACCACCTTCCTCGCTTCCCCTTCTTGGGATGGGAGCAGAGGTTTCAGGAGTCAGCTCCTTAGTATCCTGAAAACATGCATGTCCAGTTATGCCATTATGTCCATGATTCTTGGATCCATCTTTCTCAGGATCACGGAAACTATAAGAGAGAAGAGAGTTCCTTTTATGTGAGACATTCCCTCTTTGATAGATACTTTTGCAGACAGTTTATGAGCTATGATCAAATGTTTCTGATGTCACAGTTCTGTCTGAAACTTCCTAGTCAGCATGCAAGGAACTGGAAATTTACTGCTAAACTAGGAAATTTAAGAAAAACTTCAAAATATTGCTAAAAATACATTTTTTTTTTCTAAGCTAATCAAGCCTCCAGAAACCATTGGGATATTTTTGAATGACTGAAACAGTGGAAATTCTTTTACTACACAAGAATCAGCATCACTGCCTTGCTGAGGCAGAGTTCAGATGGGTTTTCTCCCCTGATGCTCCTCAGACCAGCAAAGCAAATATGGAGACTTAAAACACAAACTTCTCAGTTAGTGAGGCATAAATGGCACAGTATTTTTTTGCCTTTCAAAAAGCACCCCCAAAGCCCCTGTCACACCACGCTCATCACACACTCTTTCCAGGCACGCCCGAGCTGTTGGAGATGCTGTTTTCTCTGGAGCTCGGGTGAGGGAGCTGTGATCCCAGAGATCTGACTGTGCAGGGACAGCAGCTCCGGGGCACCCGGCACTCCCAGCCTGTGCTTCACACGGTGCAAGTGGCTTTAAAGACTGTCCCAAACGGGCAGTGCTCCCATATGGACAAGGAAGGACCCCGAGAGAGAAGGACAGGAACATCCAGCCATGGCTGTCACACTCCACAGCCTTACCTGGGGGAGCTGGCACAGCCCTCACAGCTCTGGGATGGTGCTGCTGCACCACTGGCACATCTGCAGGTGTCCTGGAAGGGAAAACAGCACACTGGGACAGCAGGCACTGCTGGAGAGGCAGCTCTGTAACTTACTCACGTGCACACTTCCAGGGATGGGGCATCCACAGCCTCCTGGGCAACCTGTGCCAGGGCCTCACCACCCTCACAGATTGTATTCCCAGCCTCTGATCTAACTCTGCCCTCTGTCAGTTTGAAGCCTTTCTCCCTCTGTTCCTGTCACTCCATATCCTTGTAAAAAGAGTAAAATCCCTCTCTGACTTTCCCATAGGACCCCTTTAGGTGCTGGATCTCTGTCTTACCCGAGGGGAAGGAGGAGCAGATTTTGATCTGTCAGGAGCTCTCCCCAGTGCAGGATCACCTGCCTGTGGGAGCCTTTCAGCTGCAGGACAGGTGCTGGGGCAGGTCCCGTGTGCTGTGCTGGGATCAGCCCCACTGGGATCCCCTCTGCTGCTCACACCCGGCGGGGCAGCGACAGCCGAGGCAGGAAAAACATCAGGCGATTTCTCTCTGGGGAAAACTTGGTGGAAAACCTCATCATTTTGCATCTTCCTGCTCCCACTTGGGTTGGAAATCTTGCCAGGAGGCCCTTTGGGATGTGACAGCCTCTTGTGCAGGGGTGGCTGGTGCAGTGGGAGGTGCTGTGAACCCCCTGGCCTTTGGCTGATCTTTCGCTCCATGTATTCCATCAGTGCAGTGTGCTGGATTTGTTTCAGCTCTGTCCTGGAGATGCTGGAACTGGAAAGTGCCCTTTCTCCATTCTCCAGAGCCCTTCTCCTGGCTGCCACTATATCTTGCTCAGTGATTTCATCCCTAACTTGACTCCAAGATGCTTCCTTATCCATTAGCTGATCGAGCTTCTCAGGCTCAGAATAGCACAGCTTCTTTTCCTCTTTGGTTACCCTTTTCCTTGCCCCTACTCGGCTTGTTTGTGGCTTCTGTATTCCTTCATCTTTACTGAAACTTTCCAGGGATTCTAGATGAGAAGGGGAGCAAAGAACAGGTTTGGCATCCTCGTTTGCACTGGATAACGAGAGAGACCGAAGGTGTTCAATTGAGGGCCTTTTAGAGGGTTTCTGTCTCAGTCTGACAGGCAAACTCATCTGTAAGTCTTTCCTCTTAAAGGAGGTTTCTCTAAGGACCTTTTTCTGAGCCACTTTAAGTTTCTCTCTGTAGTCATTCTGGAAGCTCTCCTCTGTGAATGAGGCAGGGCCCCCGAGGATGGGATCGAGGATGGGATGGGGGCTGTGGAGCTCAGCCCTGCCCCGGGGGTGCTGGCTGGGCCCTGGGCACTGAGGGCTCTCCCTTGGCTTCTCCACACCCTGTGCTGAGCCAGCACAGCCGCTGGAAGGGATTTCCCGTGGTGACCTGGAGTCCTCCTGGCTGTGGGGGAGCTGGGTGGGCTGTGGGACACTGCTGGGCTCCCCCCCAGAGAGGTAGTAAAGCATGGGGGTCATCTGCCTGCTGATCTGCTCACCAGCACCATCCTCCCAAAGCTGTCTGGAGAGCTGGGTTTGAAATCCAGGCTGGTGCTTCTGAACAGGAGGATCCCCTTGTTCCAGACACGTGCTGAGGTTGGGATTGCTGTTATTATCCCGTTTTCCTTCCTGGGATTCACGTACTAAGCGAGATGTGGGATCTTCCTTTGGTCTGAAAAAAGCCATTTGGCTGCTGGTGTCACAGCACTGCTTCCTTCCCTGATCCAGCCCCTCGTGCTGAGGGTGCTCTGCTCCCACAGCCTCGCAGCTGCAGCACCCCAGTGACCTCTGCACTCTGCCTTGCTGATCCAGGACTGGCTCCCTGACACCTCTCCCAGGTTTTCCTGCAGAATCATAGCACCGATTGTTATCTGTACAACTGTTCAGCTTCCTGGAAGCATTTTTTGCAGGGAGAGCATTCTCCACACATTGTGTGTCACAGCTGTCCTCAAACACATCCTGGTCCATGTCTGGGTGCCACTGGGCACAGAGCAGGTCCTGAGCACGGGGCAAGGGCCCCTTCCCCTGGCTGGGTCCTGGCACGGTGCTTGGCAGAGCTGCTTTGGCAGTTGGTTTCTGCACCCCACAGGGACACTGTTTGACTTCCTGTGTATCATTAACAGCGCTGGGGTTGGAATGTGCTGGGTGATAGGACTGGGAGTTCATCTCGGTGGGAATTTTATAACCATGAACTGAATTATAAGCAGAAAGTATTTTGGGCACATTTGCCACAGAGTCTGTCCTTAAATATTCTTGGAAGATGAATGAAGAAGGTCTGCTGCAAATGTGTGGATTGCTTCTCTTTGCAGGTTGTTGGGGTGGGCTCCACTCTCCATTTCCCCCTGTCTTTAACCCCTGAATGTTTGACAGAGATGCCTCGTTTGTAGAACCAGAAGAAAGGCCCTTGTTTTCCAGAGTCTTTTCCCTGGCAGGCCTGATGTCTCTCTCTGTGAGTTCATGCCAGTGTTGGCTCCCTGGCACATCCCTGTGTGCCAGCTGACTGTCCTGCACTGCAGGAGCTGCCTGCCCCTTGCACTCACTGTGTCCCCCAGAGCTGTGTCCCCCAGAGCTGTGTCCCCCTCTGGAACTGTCCCGGTGTCTGGTGATGTTGTAGCTGTCGAGCCGTGTGGGAGGGGAAGGTGGAGGTGCTGCCAGAGCTGCAGGTCCCTGATTCAAAGTCCCTCTGGTGGGAGCGGTTCCACAGCGGTCAGGGAGGCTGGGAGAGCTGGGATGGATGCTGGGGGCTGGTGCCTTGTGTGGCTGCAGGGATCTGAGGTCAGGGGGTGCAGCACTGAGAGTATAAATTCCCCTGACATACTCAGAGTCCATGTACGGCGCCTGCTCCGGGGGCAAGGGGCAACATTCCCCACAGCACGGGCGGGTGGGACACTCTGGCACGTGGGAGCCCCCTGAGAAGGAGCTGTAGGCAGAGTCTGCCCTCCCAGGGAGGTGCAGGGCATGGTCTGTGCTGCCCATCGACTTCACTGGTGACAGATGATGATCGTTCTCAGGGGGGATCACAGGCTCTGCCAGCTCCCCACTTCTGCCACCTTGCCTGGGAGTCCACCTTTCTATCTCATTCCCAACTGAAGCCATGTTGCAGCATTCCCAGAAATCCAAGGCTGATTAAAAGTCCACAACCGAGTCGTTAGAAAAGAACATTTTTCTCTGTATCACATTCCAGGAATATCTAGAAGATCCTAAGAAGAAAGAGAACCGTGAAAAAACTCAGTGGGAGGATTCTCACTGCACTTTTTCTCAGAGGCTCATAGAAAGTGCCTTGAGGCTGAGAGAGCATCCTGATGAGACATCCTGACATCAGTGAGAAGTCCCCCCAGCAGTGTGACCCCCTCTGTCAGCTCCAACCGCCCTGACACACTCACAGGCACATGAGTCCCTCAGAAAAGGCTGAACCTGGCACCAGATGGGTGCTGGCCAGTGACCTTGTTTAGTAATTCTCATTTAAGCCAGCTCTAAAGACTGATTAGTTATTAAACAAAGCAAACAAACAGTCTTGAAAACAAGCTGCTCCCGTGACAGGCCTTCTGAGGAGACACAAACTCTTTCCAGAGCCCTCCAGAATATTTCATGTCTGATTTCTTCACAAAGGTTGAACTCACCAGACCCTAATCTGCCATTTCCAATATCATATTTCTGTGGCAGGGCCTCACAAAGCTGGCAGAAAGAGAGGTCTGAGGGGTGATGTTGCTCTTTAATCAAAAAACTTCACATTCCTGCCTTGTTTCAAAGACAGTCCCGGTATCATTCATTTTGAGCCAAAGGAAGAGATGGACAGGAGCCAAAACACACAAGTTAATCTATAAATGAAACTTGGACTGGTGAGGCACACTAAATAAATTAACTAGTTTCTGGGAACTGAAAGCAGCCTAACACCACACAGTGGGAATTTCTGCTGGGCTTTTTTTTTTTGAAATTTCAGTAAGAAATCAGCTCAAGGATGCCTGGAGAAGTTCTCTCCCTCTTTATAGATTATCTAAAACACAGCTGTGAAATTTCCTCGTGTGTCCCTGAGTAACTGGGTCCCACAGGAAACATGAAGGATCAGTGGCTGATGATGACATTCCCCATCCTTGTCACCATGGCACATTAGGGACTTTAGGGAAATAAAAACCTTGGATACCTGGTGAAAGGGACACCTTGGATTTTCTGAAGCCACAGAGCTAAAAAAACAGGTGAAGGTTGCCCTGCCATTCCCTGCAGACTGACTGTGCCACAGTTCCAGCACCCTGGGCACACAGAGGGCCCTGGGAGTCTGTCCCAGCCTGGGCTGGGAATGCTCAGCAGGACCTGCAGGGGCTGGGAAGGGCCCCGGGATCAAACCCCATGGGAGCCACATTCCACAACAGACCCAGGAGGCAGATTCCTCTGTCATTCTTATCTGCCTTGTCTTAATCAAGTTTTTCTCCCAGTGGAACCTCTCCAAGCAGTCCTGTTCCTGACAGGGCTATAAATAGAGCCAAGTCTTTGTCTGGGATGTGCTGGCACAGATCCACAGGAGTTAATGGAGCCACCCTGATTTACAACGAGAATTTGGCTCTAACTTTTCACAGCAACGTGTAGAAATAACAGTTGTGGTTTGGTTTATGTCTGTCAGTGAAGGTTCTCTTCTGGTTTCCTATTCCAGTGATTCCCAACATCTCTTTTCCCTCATTGTTTCGATCCCCTGATTGTGATTCACAGTGAATTTGGCAATACAGTGAAGAACTTTTGACTCAGGTGATACCAGAAATAAGAGGAAATATAATTTCAGTATTTTAGAAGACCAAGGCAAGGACCTCTGACTGACACTGAAACACACCTTAGGGAAAACTTGTCGTATTCCTTTTGGTGAAGATATTTCCTAAACCCTGGCAGCAGAATCATTGATCTCAATGTGTTTAAAGAACTATGTGAAAACTGCCTTCTCTTTCCCATGTAAGAGAAAAACATTAATGCATTTACAACTCACCTGACAAGAACAATGACATTATTGTTCTCAGCTGAGAGGTGGCAGAGCTCCCTCAGGGACTGTCTCTGGGCCTCAGAAATGCTCTGGCAAGGCTGGAATACAATGTGCACATTCCAGACAGGCTTGCAATATTTTCATTGTAAACCACTGAAAGCGAGAAGAAAAATGTTAAATTAAAGTCTCTCAGAACCAAACCCACTGGAAGACGAAGGAAAGTGTATTAACACTTGTGTTAACTTGACTTCCATCCACTGGGTTATTGTATTTACCCCAGTACTGCCCAGAGCACAGCCCTCTGTGTGAAGCAGTTTGCAAATGTAAAGCACATCCTCCTCTTTGCTTTATCCATCTGACCAACCAGAGGGATGAGATGAACACACAGAAGGGAAACAGGGGCTCTGTGGGGAATGGGACCTGTCCAGTGCCTCCCTGATGGCTGAGGAAGGACAAAACCCAGAGGAGAGAGGACACTGTGCACGAGGCTGGGCTGACTCTGGGCTGAGATAATGATGTCTTATGGCTCAAAACAATATTTGTTCCAAGTTTCCACCATGATAATGATAGAAAAAAACAAGACAAAATAGCAGTGGCAAGGCAATGCCAGGAAGTCCCCATTGTGCAGCTCGTGCTGTACCATTTCTCAGCTCAGACACCAGTGCTGGCATTAAAAACTCTTCACCCAAACACTGTCAAACAGTCCCCAAGTGCTGAGAGCCAATTTGTGCCCTGCTGAAGTCTCCAGCCCCTCACAGACCTCTGTGAAATACAAGTCCCCACATCAACCTCCTCTGTTCTCAGGAAAGGTTTGCATTGCACAACCTGGAATTCTTTGCAACCAACTCAGAAGGTCAAAGCCTCATGTCCCTGGCAAATTAACTGTACAGAGAAAAACCAGTGACTCCAGACTGCAGTCAGTTAACAAGTTACCTGTCTTTTAAGGGCAGGGTTTCTTCTACTTACTCTTTGGTCTTGTTTGACCTCAGTTAGACTGTGCTAGGTGCCAGAATTGATCCACAACTCACCTCAGTTACACACAATGCTTGCTCAAACAAACCATCACCCTTTAGAAACACAGCTATTCTCTTTATGAACTCTCTGATTTATCATCAACAACCCAGGAAAAACAAGCCCTGGCCCCAAACACACTCCACACTATGTGTGTGTGCTTGTGCAGGTCCCTGGAATTACCAACACCACCTTTCTGTCAGGGAAGCAAGAATGAGCGTTTTCCTTAATAAACACAAGCAGAGTTCAAACCCTCATAGCTCTCTTTCTGTAGAACTGCCCTTTTTAAACAAATGGCTCCATGACAATAAAGGGGAAAACCACAGCTATTAATCCAGATCAAACCACAGCACTCAGCTGCTCTCAAGGAGAGAGACAAGTGTGCAAAATGCAAAGCAAACACTGTGACCAACCTACCAACATCATGTCATGTTCATGCCTGTGAATGACCTGTTCCTTATCCAAGGGTAAACACCTGATGTCAATATTAGCTGACATTCCTCAGATTCCAGCCAGCTGCACAGGCTGCAGCCCCTGATCCAGCTGCTCCCCAGAGATCACCTGAGGCACTCTGGTGTCAGCAGGTGATCCCATGGGCTGTCCCAGGGCAACCTAGAGAGTCCAAAATCCTGGGGAAGTCAGGTCCAGTCTCTGGTATCTCAGAAACCCTGAGCAGGTCATGGGTTGATGATCTGGCACAGGTTCCCAGATCTCCATCCTGCTCTTCCTGGGCTGACCTTGATGCCCACGCAGAACATGGATGCAGTGACTGCATCTCTGAGACATGAGATGTCTGGAAATAAGAGCTGCTCCTTCCACCAGACTGTGAGAGAGCCAAAAATTCCAGACAAATGCCTCAAGTCTTCAGATTCCATCACTTTGACATGACTATTGACAGGGTGAGAGAAGTGGAGGGACACCACATCCAGGAGAGTGTGTCTGGCTGATCACCCTGATTTTCAGCACCTCGAAAGTCCCTGTTTCTCTCTTAGCTGCCTTTTTTTTTTTAATAGATATTTTCCCTTTATTATTTTTTTCTAGCTTATAATCAACAATTTTATCCCCTTGGACTTTCAGCTTTAGGTTTCAAACAGGAAGCCAAACACAGCAGATGACATCCCCTTTAGATAATTGGAAAAGCACACATTCTGCTAATCTGTGTTTTTCATACTAAGGTTCCTGAAGACTCTAACCCCCAAATTTCTCATTCAATCCAATTTCCAAAACTCATGCAGGTAGCTAATGGTGCAAGGATACAGTGCATCAACACCCAAGGACAAACTCTCACCTTTGGCTTACACAGTGGAAAGCAAACCCTGCTACTGGGAGCCAGGGAAAGCCCAAGTGCCAGACAGTCTCCAAACAGAGCCTAAGTGGGATTTAGGGGAGGTTTATGCCTTGTGTGAACAGAAATAAATTTCACCACAGTTTGAGGAATGTAAACATTTCCCTAAAACCCACAGATCCAGACTCAAAGCTTCCTGGAGCCATCAAAGTGTCTTGAGAAATTTAGAGGAGGATGAAAATAATAATAACGCATCACAACATCCCTTTTTTTGGGTAGGGAGTGGATAAACCTTCCTAAACTTCCTCACCCAGCTGTGCCAGGCTCCCTGCAGAAGGAAGGGATCCTGACTGACTGGAAGCTTTGCTGGAGCCCCAGTGCCAGCACTGGTCCATCCCATCCCTTCCCCGTGTCAGGGGTGACACCTCCCTGTCATTGCCCCTGGGCTGAGGAAGAGCTGAGGCCCAGATGAAATACTTTTGGACCCAGGAGCCATGGCCTGATCTCTGGCCAAGGTTTTAATGAGGAAGATCAGGTCTGGCAATTCTTCACAGCCCTGTGAGAGACTTTTCCTGGGCACCCACCAGAGCCTGACCCTTTAATGAGAGCAGTCACCCGCCACATACCTCCCATTGTCCTCCAGTTCCCTGACTTCCCTTATTCAGCCTCAAAAATTTCTCTTGGCTTCCATCAGCACTAGTCTCTAATCTACTAAACAGCACCAAACACTTATTTTTGTTTCTACCTCTGTGCTTCTCAAAACTCCTTTTCCCAGAAATCACAGTTTCATCCCAAACATGTTTCTTTCTTTCCAACTGTTTCCACTTCATCCCTTCTTAGTTTATCATAATTTTCCTTTTTTCTTTTTTCAATCTAATCAGGTTCATTTGATGCCATAAATATAACCCCATGCTGCTTCTGCAGGCTACAAGAACACACACAAATATCCAAGAGCTTTAAAGACTTACAGGCTCTAAGGTACTCAAAATCAAAAAGAAAAAAACCTAATGACACTGTTGATTTTTAAACATATGCCTTTAGAATTAATATAGATATTAATTAATAGAATAAATAATATATATAATGAAGATATTTTCTCATTTCTACCTGTTGAGTGCTTGCCAGCAAGGCCATTCAAGAAACATCAGAGAAAAATAAAATTCTCCAAGTCCCCCTGACCTACCGCACTGAGCTGCCCACAGCTTGGGCAGCAAGGCAGACCCTGAACAGGGGAAATCCAGTTCAGCATCTCCTTGCACTGATGTGTGGTTTGAGTCCAGAACCCTGTGAGCTGGGACAAGTTGGTCAGCAATCTGTGCAAGCAGAGCTTTAACAACATGTCCATAATTAACAGTCTGTAATTAGAAAAATCCAAGTGTTTATTACAGACAGCTCCACCAGCTGCCACACATCCCACCCCCGCTGTATTCCCAGCACTCATGGATCAGAACTGGCCTTTCCCAGCTCCATCAGAGCTCTGGGAGAGCTGATGCTCGCTCAGGTTTGTGAGTGACAGTTGTCTGGCTGGAAAATGCCACAAAGTCATCTTGTCTCTGAAGAATTGTGGTTGTCTGGGCAGCTACATGTGGTTTCTTGTGCCACAGCATAAAACCATTCCCAGCAGCTCTGTGGGTGTCTCTGTCCCTGCAGCCCAGGAGGCCCTGACAGCTCAGGCTGCAGAGTCCAGTTTCTCCAGGCTGGAGTTTTGTTTTCCACAGACAAATCTGCCACGGGAGCAAACATTCCTGCTGCAGCTCCAGTTTTGGACAAGGATGGATCCAGAGGCACTGGCTGGGCAAGGGGCAACATTTAGTTTGCCTTAATAAAGTGGGATTATATATATATTATTTATTTATATAAATAAATCTGTGTGTAATATTTAGATCATGGCTTTTAGATGTAATAAAGGTGGATCAAACAATTCATTCTCTGCTCCTTAGATGTACTGAGCAGCTTTTTGTGAGCTTGGCAAGCTTTAGCCTGTGTGCTATGAACTTCATGAATGATACAGAAACACACTCCCTTCACTGGATTCCCAAAGTCATTCCCATCTAGGGAATAGCTACAGGTAAAATACTGCACAGAGAGTCCTACCAGACCTTCCCAGGTGACATGGTCAGTCTGGCTCACCCAGATCCTCCCAGAGAACAGGAGAGGACCCAGCTCCTTCACATCCTCACCACTCCTCCTAAGTACAAATTGATCTTTTTAATACCTTACTACCCTCAGTAAATCACGGAACTTTTCCATTCTTTCAAAGCACATTCCCAATCTAAAATATCATTAGCAAACAATACTTTCATTTTCTCGTAGACAAATTAAGGATTATGAAGTCATATTAATCAATTACTTGATATTTAAAAAAAAAATCCATTAGCTCTTTAACTTTCTTATTTTGACATAGGAAACAGAAACTGTTCCTTACCAGAGGATGTCTGTTTTCAGTCTAATTCATCCAGATGTTAAACATAATTGTGCCTGCCTTTGGGCTGGGGCAGACACTAATGTCATATCCAGTTACTACAGAACATTCCACTGGAACAAGAGAAAAACACCAAATATACACAAGACATAATATATCAGACTGCTCTGTTCCTTTGGCAAATAATGGATTCCAGTATTTTCCCACAGCTTTCATTTGGACAGAATTCATAAGGGTTTATGCTTAATCTCACTAAACATATCACTGGTTTCCACAACAAACAATGAGAAACTGGATTAGTAGTTAAAAATAATCTGGAAATATCCAATAGTTACCTTACTGCAGGTTTAATGGGGGGGGAATGATGGGCATAAATCAAACCCTTGGTCTGCAAAGAGCATCAGAGAATCACAGACTGGTTTGGGTTGGAAGGAGCTTAAAGGGCATCTCATTCCACCCCCTGCCATGGGCAGGGACACCTCCCACCATCCCAGGCTGGTCCTTTGATCCAACCTGGCCTTGGGCACTTCCAGGGATGGGGCAGCCACAGCTTCTCTGGGCAACCTGTGCCAGGGCCTCCCCACCTTCCCAGGGAAGGATTCCTTCCCAATATCCCATCTAAGCCCACCCTCCTGCACTCCATCCAGACAAAACCGACAGGAGAGCCAGAGGAAAAGTCTGGGTAAAGCATCAGTTCCTTCAGTGCTGGGAAAAGGCAGCACCCAGGGCTTTAGTGAGAGCCTTTGCCAAAGCAGCAGTGCCAGGGCAGGGATTCCCCTCTGGCAGCAGGGAGGGATGGGAGAGCAGGGGCAGCTCACTGGGAGCAGCTCCTGATTCCCTTCAACCCTGGGACCCAGTGGTTCCCTGTCTGTGGCACCTCATACCCATTAGTCCCCACCCAAACACAAGGCTGTGAGTTTTTGCAGGTCCACCTTTCTACATTTAATCTGTTCTACAGAAACTTCCTTTTTGAGTTCCCACATCAGTTCCCAAATCCTCCATAACCTGCATTTCAGCATCAGCCTCAAACACTGCCTGTGCTGGGGGATCATTGAGTGTATTTGTACCGAGGTAACTGTTCCCTGTGTAACGATGTCTGCCTGCCAGACCCCTCACCCCACCTGTTTAACATGGATCTAGATTTTACTTGGACTAAAAACCCCCCCTAATCTGCACACTGAAGGATAGAGCAGAGCTCCTGTGTTTGTATCAGGCTGAGGTGACACTCCAGACTGTCTGTGTCCACAGCAGGGATGAGGCTGGTCCCTCACACACTGTAACACACTGATCATTTGAGCATTTTTAAAGATAAATTTTCTAGCACAAATTCAGTCCTGCCCTTGTCAATTATTTGGTTACAGTCACACATTTCCCTATGAAAATGTCATCTCTCACCCACAGGGATCCCTGAAGTTCAGGTGGCCTGGTGCAATCACATGTGCCTGAGACAGCTTTCAATCCCGGGTTAAACAATCCAAAATGTGGTTTTAATATTTTCCAGGGAACATCCTGCTCCCTCCTCTGCTTCCGGGCTGTTCCAGGAGGGAACACGGACAGATGGGAGCACCTGGACCTCGACAGCACCTGGACCTCAACAGCACGTGCTCTGCAAGGACCTGAGAGCGAGTCAGTCCTTGCTGGGCAGAGAGGAGGGATAGGAAACACAGCACTTGGACACCTGCTTTCCCAGGATTGGGATTTCTTCTCCTGCCTCCTCCACCAGTCCTGCCTGGCTCTGGACAGGCTCTGGCAACACGTGTGACCATCACTCCAGTGGGACCAGTGGCTGTGCCTGCCCTGTGCTGCTGAGCTGGGGCTGGGCACCCTCTGCACCTCCTCTTTTGCTGAGACCTCCCAAGCCACCCGTGAACAGCTCCACAATCCCACAGCACCCCCAGGCTGGCCCGTGTGGCACAGAGCTGGCACAGGGCCACGGGCAGCTGGCATGACCAGCACATCTCCAGCACCTAAACCACACATCACCAACTCTGCACTGAACCCCCTGGGTCCAAGGACCCGTGTGGTGTCCTCCAGCTGCTCCAGGGACACTGCTGAGCTGAAGGGAAATGTGCTTGTCAGGATGGAGTGGTGAGATCCCCCCAGCACAGCAGGGACAGGCACTGCAGCCCCCAGAGCTCTGCACGCTCAGCCTCGCTGAACCCCCCTCCCCAAACACCCCCCCATCCACGGCTGAGGGAGCAGCCAGACCATGGACCAGCAGAATCACTGCTCTCCAGACTCACAGCAAACACAGCACAAGCAGCAGAGCAACCAGATGTTCTTTTTCATTCTTTTCTTGCATAAAGCAAATATACAGACAGACAGCACAGCAGCTGCTGGGGACAGCACGTACCAGGTACAGGCATCTCAAACACACACACACTGAGCTGATGTTTGGTTAGTGAGACCCACAGAACTACAGAAGGGTTGGGCTGGAAGGGACCTCAGAGCTCAGCCAGTTCCACCCCCTGCACGGGCAGGGACAGACCCACAGACCAGGTCACCTCTGGCAGTGTGAGGTGCACAACGAGCACAGACAGGGCACACCTTCTGCCTCCAGTATTCTCCTTATAAACAGAAGCCAATGCTCTGGTCCAGATTCCAGCTGTGCCCTCGGAAAAGATCGGAAAGTCACCGAAGCAGAACTTTTGCGTCTCCCAGCCCGCAAAGTTCTCAGTGCACTCACAGAAGGCGGGGGGCGAGTCCCATCTCTCGGCTGGTCCCGGGCCGGGATGTCCCCGAGCAGCTCCAGGGGCACTCACAGCACCCTCCGGCTCCGGGGGCAGCTGCCCCGGGCTGTCGGGGCTCTGTCCGGGCTCTGTCCGCTCAGCAGCGGTGGCAGAGGGAAGGAAGGAGAGGGAACAGTGGGCTGGGCTGTCCCATTATCTCACCAGTCAATCATTAACCACGGCGCTGCTGCTGCTGCCCGAGCCCTTGGCCGGCGGCCACGGCTCCCACGTGGGCACGGCCGAAAAATTCCATGAATATGCTGCCAAGGCCACAGAGGAGAGAGCAGGTGAGGCCCCTGCGACCCAACACACTCCTGCACATCCCACCGGGACGGGACAGCAGCGCCTCGGGAGCATCCCTCATATCCCACCGGGACAGCAGCGCCTCGGGAGCATCCCTCACATCCCACAGGGACGGGACAGCCCCAGGAACATCCCTCAAATCCCACCGGGACAGGATGGGACAGCACCGCTCCAGGAACATCCCTCCCATCCCACCGGGACGGCACCGCCCCACTCCCTCCTCACTGCCTTACCTGTGCTGTCCCCAGCCCGGGGTCACAGAGCACAGGAGCCCCTTGCTCTGGGGCAGTCGGGAAGCACTGCTAACAAAAACTAATTAAATCCAACTGAAAGTAGTTAGATTTAATCCAACAAAGTAGTTAGATTTGATTTTCTTAAAAGATTATATCCTGCTTCCTGAGGGTGAGAGAAAAAGGGTTGTACAGTGGAAGTTAATGCAGCTCAAGGCAACTCTGAAGCTGTTTTATACACTGCAGGGTTTTTTTGTGTGGCCTTTTAATTATTTTTAAGTGTTTTTTCTCATAAAAGGGCACAGAAAGCACAGATTGAGGCTTTCATCTGATTCGTGTGACTCTGAATCAACTCAAAACTCTGCAATAAATGTTTTCTGCTTCCAAATACATGTGATGAAGCCTCATACAAACATTTTATAATGTCCTTATCCAGTGAGATGAATTCCTGCTACGTCCCAGCTGGGCTTAAAAAATAAGCCGATTTTGTGCCACTATTTTTTCCCCTCAAACTAAGCTGCCAACTGGATAATGCCATGCTCTGTAATTTGTTATGTATTGTCTCTCAAGGGAAAACTGGGCATTCCTCCCACATTTCCTACAGAAATAATCTGCTCACCTGTGGTTGTGCTGTTCTCATCTGCTGGAAGGAGAAAAGTGGCCTCCAGTGGGGGACAGGCTGAGCCTGTGGGTTGTGCCTGCCCCCACCCCACTCTCCTGCCAGAGCCATCCCAGAGAGCTTGGAATGGGGTTTAATGCAGGGAATCTGGAGAGCACAGGGATTGCTGTGTTGGGAAAGCCTCAACTCCACATCTCCTGAGCACGAAGAGCCTCTGGAACACCATCCTCTGATGATCCCTGTGATCCATGTTTGAGGTGCTCCTGTGAGCAAACACCAGGCTCCTCTTCACAATCCTGCACACAAACAGGCCCTCCCTGAGCCCAGGCTTTTCTCACCAGCACACAACATGGTCAGTAACTCTGCACATGGAACTGGGCTCCTGGGAAGTTACTCAGTAACTAACTCAGGGTTTAGTCATTGCATTAAATCCTGTTTTCACCCAGCAGTGACTTGGTATCTGATCAACTGCTCTGCCACGAGCAGCCAGGGGACGTTTCCAGCAGTGCAAGAAATGAGAAGGGAAAAAATTCTGCCCACAAAGGCAAAGCTGAGCAATCCTCCTGCCATGGGAGGAGCAGAGCTCTGCTCTGGGGCAGAGCTGCCACTCCAGGCGTCCTCCATGCACAGCAACTGCTGGACATCTGGACATCCCTTTGGCCACTGGTCTGTCAGAGGATGGCTGGGTTGGTGCAGCACTGCACACAAACCAACCTCAGACCTACAGGAATGATCAGGGTTCCAACACAGCACATGAGAAAAGAGGGAAGTCAAAGCCATCGTGTTCCCACCTTGCACTCAGAGGGTTCATTCCCCAGCTCCTGCCTCTCCCTGACCCTGCACCAAGGCTGTTCCCTGGAAACAGTTTGGTTTGGCTCTGGGATTTGCCACAGGTCTTTGTAAGGTTTGGCTCTTATATTGGGAGATTTTTTAAAGACATTTCAACACATCAAAATTGAGAGTGTCCAGACTTTTCCAGACAGTACAGTGCCTGACTTCTGTCTCTGTGAGAGAACTCTGCAGACATCCAGGTTCAAGAGCCCCTAAATGAAGTGTCTCCTGTGTGTAAACTGGGGATCAATAGCACTCTTCTCACCACACTGCTGTCAGGATAAACCCATTAAAAACTGTGGGGCTTTGGAAACAGTCCCCTCCTAAGCCAAGGGAAGGCTCTGGGACTCACTGAGTGCCATTCCAGGAGGGCTCTGCAGCCACACTCACACATGGAACACTGGGCAGGGCTCCTTTAGGGCCCTACTCTCACAATAAATCCATGTTTTACAAGTATTAGCAATTAAACCTTCCCACTGCCTTCACACTGAGCGCTGTAGATTTGGGCTGACTAATTGCCCTTTGCTCCATCCCCAGATTTAATCACATGGTAAGATGTTTAATGACTAAAAATGATTGAATGAGATGGGATGGGGACACCCCAAGGAGAGAATTTACAGCTGCTCTTGGCAATTAAAACCACTAGAATGCATTAGTGTCAGAGAACACGACAGAACCACGGCAGAAACCTCACTCTTGCGTCAGCCTGAGCACTCCACCACCATTCATCAGCTCTAGGAAACAACCAAAGTGTTCTCAGGGGAACTACAAGTCACAAAGCTCACTGAGGTTTGATATTGATAAACTTATGGCAACAATAATAAACAGGGCCAAGAGTAAAAACAAACAGGGGATTTTGTAAAAACAACAGAGCTGAGATTCATTTCAGTTGTCCTTGGGTGCCTAAACCTTTAGAGTGCATTTACATGTTTTCAAACTCTTTTTTGCACCCAGAAATACTAATGTACGTGGTGGATTTCTTAATTGAGAACTAAGACTTTCAGGCAAGCCTTGATTTTTACAGCTGGCACTTTCAGAGATGCATAAAATCTCCTGACACTTCCCAGGATGGTGTCAGTGGTTGCCATCAGCATGGCTTTCATTTCCAAGCACTGCCACAGTCCCTGCACAAAACTGCTTGGAAGTAGAAAAGAATAATTAGGATTATGGGCCAAAATTTGCCTCTTGATGCTGCTTTACAGATCTTCTGCCCAAGCTGCTCTGTGCTGGGATGTGTCCTGTACTCACTGCAGCTCCTGAAGGCAGAGCCCTACAGTGCTGGAGACACCAGTGACTGACACAACCAGGGCAGGGGCTGCTCCCTGCTCACCTGACCCTGCACTCTGCACAGCCCCTGAGTGCCAGGGAACAGCACC